TTATATAAATAAGTTTATCATTTCTCTAGTTTTAACGATAAGTAAGAAAAAATTAAATTTTCCATTGGAATAAAACAGTTTTAATCAATTACAACTATTATTTCATCCGCAGGTGTAAGATATTTACTTCTTTTACCGCTGCAAGTGTGTTGTGCATGTGTTTTTGTTGCGTGCGTTTGTTTTATCAGTTACAACTGTTGTTTCTTGTTGTTTTTGCCTGGGAAAACGTGTTTCCACCTCAAAAAGTTTCCACCGTAGGTTGCACATTTACTTTGTTGTTGCATGTTATTTCTGCTTTTTTTTTCTTTTTCCTTTGCGAAAACACGAAAATATCTACCCACCGAAAAAGAGACACGCACGTACACATTGTTGTTCGAATTTCAAAAAGTGCAGAAAAGCGCAAAAAACAAAAAAATAATAAATATTTCAATATTATTAAACACACATGTGCTGCACATGTGGTTTGGTTTCTTAGTTTTTGTAATTTCGCTATAATAAATCAGCGCAGAAATCTCAACGAATTTATTATATAGCATGTGGTTTTTATACATTTGAATTTGCATTTAAAATGCAAGAACAAAAAATTCAAAAAGTATCAACTTACAAGAATTCTTTCATTTCTTTCGGTTTTTAAGTAATACAATTACGGTAAATGTTTGTTTAAAAGATTCCATAACCAAAAAATGTTTATGGATAATGAATCAGCAGGCAAATCTCCAAAGAGTCTCCACAAAAAGCTTTATAGTTCCGTTTAGTCTTTCTTCTTGCGTTTCTTTTCTTTTTTCGTTCCTTTCTTTTTCTCCTCGTCTTTCAGGTTCAAGAACATTCGCGAGTGGCGAAGATAGTGAGAAAGAGCATGGTACGAGGGGTATGGTAGGGAAGGCAAAGCAGGGCAGCAAGAAAAAGGAAGGGGAGATAAGAAAGCTGCGAGATAAGAACAAGAACAAGAGAAGCAAAGAATTTGCTTTTAAATTACTTTCACATGTTCAAAGTTTGCAAATGGAATAATAAAGAGTAAATTTCACAAAAAGGAGGGAAGAAAATAAATAGAAGAGAGTAAATACACACATACATACACATACAAACATATACAAAGTATATGGAATGATCTACATTTGCTGGCGGGAAAAATGAAATATACAAATTATTGATATCAACTTTGACTTTTGTGCTGTGCTTTGTTTCGTTTGTTTTTAAATTGTTTCTTCTTTTTTTTTTTTTAAATTTGTGTTTTATTGTTTTTGCCGCTGCCAACACAAAAATTCCATTAAAATGCCAAGTGACAGTTTTTTCTCCGCCTCTTTCTTTTCTTTTTTTTGTGTATTTTATATTGCCAATCAGATTTGCTTTTTAAATTTTGCAATGGGTTAAAACATGTACAACCTTATATTTAACAATGTAAATATTAAATCGATTGATTTATTATTTAAATTTTTTTTGAAATGTTTACACAATTTAATTAATTTTTAAACAATATTTGATGGCAAAAGTACATGTTATGGTAAGGGTTAATAGTTAGTTCTAATGCTTTATAAATCATTACAAAATAATAAGTATTTATTCTTTACATTTTTTATTTACTGCAATGGCAAAACTAAAGTTCCATCTAAGGGTTAAAGCGTATACCTAGGCACAAGGACGATGCTTCCTTTTTATCTACGATTTTCCTACATTTTATTTTGACTTTTTTGTTCTCGATTTGTTCTTTATCTCCTTTTGCCATTCTACGGGAAAGGCAAGGTTGCCAAACTTCATTCGAACGTGAATTTTATTCTTTTTTTTTTTTTCTGTTTTTTGAACGTGTATTGCGTATTTCTTTTTGTTTTTACCAACTCTGTTTTTGTTGTTGTTCGGTTTTTGTTTCTCTTTCTGGAGGAGGAAAAATCAATATGCGGATTGCGATTGCATTTAAATGAACAAGAAAACGGCAAAAGATTGGAAAAAAATACTTCTTGTTTTAGTGTCTTAAATATGAACTAAAAAATAATAATAAAATAAAGTTGTTTTACTTTTATACCGCATAAAGTCGTAGAATAATGTATTATTTAAAAACAATGTAAATTTTAATTGCTTTAAAAGTCAAATCATGAAGATATTGTTAATTTATTTATTTAAAAATCTCTGCTACTTCCAATTCTTTTATTTAATGTTTAAATGTTTTTTTATTTCAATTACTTATATATTTATGTATGTATTGTATGTGTGTGTGTATGGTATTAAATAAAAAATGGTGAGCGAAGCTAAAAAAAAAAACCGGTTCAACAAGAAATTCTACGAGCGGCTTATAAGAAAAAGAAAAACCATAAAAAAAATCAACAAAATAACAAAAAGCAAAGACAAAAAAGCAACAAAAACCACAGGCCACGTATGTATAACTTAGCTATATACAATTATATAGGTATATATGCCTATATACTATATAGCTATTCACATTTAAAACAGAGAAAAGAAATTTGGTAAAACACAAGTAATATTTGCATAATTCCAAATGCTAATTGGAGATTGGAATACAAATATATATATATATATAAAGATATAGAAGAGCTACTCAAAAGGCAATGCCAGAAAAGGTATAAATAAATAAAAAATAAACTACAAATCTATGCAAATATATACCGCATATTAAGAGGAACAACCGATAAAGAACCTCAAAGAATAGACACAAAATAATGTAAAAGATAACAAAAAAAAAAAAAACTTGATATTTTTGGCGCCAGAGAGAAGCAAGATGAAGAAAAGAAGATGATGATGAGAAGTAAAAGAGAGCAAAACTTTAAACTCACGTGGAAAATGCTTACACCAAAGATCTTTGATCGTAGTTTGTTCAATTTTTATAGGGATGTTTTTCGAACCAGTTTGGAAAATATTTATATATAAAAAAAAAATACAATGAATAAATACTTGTACATTTTTGGGGTTATTTTTTGGTTTTTTGAGAGTTTTTTGTTAAGATATCTAAAGTAAAGTAAACCTTTCTAACAAATTTCTCAACTACTAACTTCCCTACAAATGCCAGGTTTTTGGAAAAACTTTTTAAAATTTTCTAAAGTAACCTTAGTAGAAAAGTCTAGTTATAAGATTTATCAACCTTTATGTTAGTTCCCCTTTTAACTATAAGGCTTTTTTGAAAGATTTTTCAAGTTTTCTTAAGTACAATAAATGTAAAAGACTTAAAATCCATTTTATCAACTTTTTCGTTAATTTAACAATAGTTTTATAATTATTTACTTTAAAATTCAGACACATTTAGGCCACATAGCTGTTAAATAATTAAAATTAAATAATAATGCTTTTATAATTCAACATCAAAGATTTTTACTTAGAATTGTAAAAAAAAAACTTTGTTACTTTTCGTTTCAAATAAATGCAATTACAATCCAATTGGCAACAAATTCCAGTTCTAAATATTGGAATATTTTTATTTTTAAGCTAAAACTTACATATTGATTAAAAGAAGAAAAAATCCACATGGGAAAATGAAATTTGAAATTGCAAATATGTTTAAAATATTAAATATCAAAGAAATCAACTTTTTGAAACTTTGAAAAACATGTTAAAATTTTTATACAAATGATGATTTTATATTTCTTTGCTACATTTATTAAGTTCCAAAATTATATTAATAATATTTAAATTCCAATTCCAATTCTTTTACTCTATTTTAAGACCTTAAGTTGTGATTTTTTGTAACTTTTAAAGCTTTTTTGTAGTCACATGAAACTAAAATAAACATGCTTTTTATATATTTAAACACAATTTTTAATTTTGCCAACTCAAATTATATGAAATATATAAAGATTATTTTATTTTTAATTAAAAGCTTAAAAGATAAATTAAACTACTTGTTTAACCAATCAAAAAACAAAATATTAGTTATGATTACCAAATTTACAATAATTAAATATCAAAATAAAAACATAAAACTAAAACTACATTCGAAAGTCAAAAATATAAAAATTCTAACTACATGATCCCTTTTTTTTTTTTTTTTTTTTGAAAATTTATCATTAAAACTTTAAAATATAATTAGTATACATATTTCAGGGATTCCCTATTTAAAACTTTTAACTTTTTTTTAAAAAAATGTTTGCTAACCTTAAAACCACCTAAATTCTGCTGTTAAAACTGAGCCAATAATCTGTGAGTTTCGTTATTAAAAACTATTTTATTTTTTTTAACCTTAAAAAAAGCCTAAATTCTACTATTTAAACACGTTTTTTTTGTTATAAAACTTACCCGCTGGTCGATGGTTGTAAATGTTGTAAATCCGCGTTGGAAAAATCCATGAGAATCCACTATAATCAGTTTTCTTTATAACTTTCCTTTCTTTTAGGCATTATTTTTATTTTTGTTTTATATATAAACTATAAAAAACGGCACACAAATAGCGCGATAATTTATTTTCTATTGATTTTTCGCATCTTTTGTAATGTAAACAATAAAAAAAAGTTAACTTTATCTGCATATATATTTGTATTATATATATCTGATACTTATATATATATAACATACAAATTTCTTGTATTTTTATTGATTTTTTCGTATTATTTTATATATTTTTTTTAGCACAGGGCGTTGTCGGCCCAAAAAAATTGTGTTTCTTTCTTTTTTTTTCTTCTGTCGGTTAAAAAATTCTCTCCGCATATGTATGTGTGTGTGTGAGTGTGTTTGTGCGATTTATTTTAACTATATTTCTTTTATTTTTTTTTTTAAATATTTTAAACAACAACAAAATTAGAACACACGCACACAAACATATTTAGAAATTTTTCCACTTTAATGAGAGAGCGAGCAAGAGAGGAAGACAGACAGAGAGAGAGCAAGCGAGCGGAGAAAAAAAATCGCGACGCAATTTTTATATATATTTGCCTTTTTAATTTATATTTGATTTGCAGCTTAAATATTTCTTTTTTTTATTTGCTGGCACACCGACACACACGCACACACCAACTTGAACACACGCACGCACGAGTATTTCTTTTATTTCTTTCTTCTTTTACTTGTAATATATATTTCCTTTATATTTGGTGTGATTTTTGTTGTTGTTTTGAACGTATTGCGTTGCACATTTACCTCGGTTAATTTTTTGTGAATTTGTTATAAATAAATTCGCAACGTATATGTTATCTGGCGCAAACGTTGTCAATTTTTCACATGCTCTGCGCGCAGCACACACCCGAGTTTTTAGCCATTGAACAACGACAACGTTCACAGAGCAGAGCAGAGCACGGAGCAGCGCAGCTGCCAGCTGCCAGGCTCGATGGCAGCGACGCCAGCAGAGTACCGTCGACAGAGCCAACTGCAACCGCAACTTCATCTACTTTTAATCTTCTTTCATTATTTAATGGTTATTTGTGTGCAAAAAAAAGATAGTTAGTAAGAGTAAATAACAGATAAGGATTTAATCTTATAATTTGTATAACATTTTAAGCAAAATATCATTTTAATTTAACAAAGAAAATCAAAAAGCGGCAATGCGAGAGAGAGAGAGATGCCTGGCTATTCGCTGTTCGAACTGCGAACATGCAACCTCTAGCGACCGTTTCGAACCGCTTCTCAACCGTTACGAACAGACTGAACAGTGACGTCCCCAAATTTTGGACACTATGGGTAGCTATAAAATGGGAATTAAAAGCTATTAAATATATTTGATATAAAAAGGTGGGAAATGGTAAAAATATAAATAAAGAAAAATATATATGCTATATATTTATTGAATGAAATCTTAAAAATTTTGTAAAATTAAGAATGTGGGTTAGCTTAAGACTGTATAAAACTGTGTTTTTATGTATTAACCATCATACATTTTATATTTTATGGATTTTTAAAGTGATTTATGTATTTATTTCAACATATTTTAAGAATGTATACTTTTTTTGAATAAAATATTTAAAGTTATTTAATAAACTTGCGCCAATTAAGATTTAGTTTTATACGAAATTTCCTAAAGTTGTCTTTGGATTAAATTTAATACTTATTTGATTTGCCTACAAATTTATAAATTATACCATTACTAACTTTAAAATCATTCTTTTTAAGAAAAAAATAATATATAATAGTTATGTGTTTGTTACTTATTGTTAATATATAATGATAATGATTTAAATTTGTATCTGTTTTCTTTATATATTTTTTTATATTTTCGATTTATTTTAACGAATTTCCTAGTTTTAAAAATCATAAAAACTCTGTTATTTATACAGTTCTTATTTTACCCATGTTTCCCACACATTTTCCACATATTTTTCCCCATATTTTCCACATTGTATTTCCCCCCCCACCTTTCCATATGAAAACTTTCCATGAAAAATGTTTGCCATTGAGTAACCCGAGCTTTTCGCATGGCAAAACAGTTTTGATAAATTGAAAAATGAGCATTTGCAATGGTTTAATTTTCGTTCTTGCGTATTTTCCACACCCCTCCCCCCTCCACACCGTGATCATTTTCATTCGTCTGCCTTCATGTGTTTTGTTTTTCCTCTGCTTCCCCCGTTTTTTTTTTTGTTGTTGTATTTTTTTTTCGTCACTTGCCAATTTGCAGTGAAAGTGAAATGCGCTGAGCGCAGGCGGTTTGCAAAGAGGGAGGTGGGGTGGCCGGGTGTTATGAGGGGTCACGCGGGTGTGGGGCGTGAAAAGTGGGTGGCGGTGGGTGGTGCAAAGGGCAACGGCCAGCGTAGGCCGAGCCTAAATACAACAACAACAGCAGTAACAACAGAAAGAAAAGAAAAGCAAAGAAAATAAGTCAAACACACGTGCGATTTACCTGCACAATTTTCCTTTTCCAGTCGCGATTTTCCGTCAATTTAATGCAGTTTTTCTTTGCTGTGTAGATTGGGTTACTTACAGTTATTTAGTTTTTGGGATTTTGTTTTTGATTTAATTCTATTTTAGTTTTTTGTTATAGGTTTTATTGAGTTTCAGGCAGTGTATATTATTTATTTATAATATAAATTCGTTTCTAATAGCTTTTTTGGTTTTAATAGTTTAATTAGTTCATAGAATTTTAAGTTATTAGCTATTTAGTTGAGTGTTTTTGTAGATTATTTTTAGTTTAAATCATTTATTCGTTTTTTTGTTAGCTATTTTTTGCATAAAAAGTTTGCTTAAACAAAGAAAACTTAAGTTATTTGCACTTTAAGTTGTTTCCTGCTAATATATTTGTTTTTTTAAGTTAACCCTGTTATTATTAGTCCTTGTAGCCCTCTCTTTTCCACTCTATATCTATCTCCCCCTCATATAAACCTCCTACCCCTGTTTTTCCTCTATCTTTACTATTTTTTATGACTTTTATTCTCCACTTTTGTACTTGTTATTGCTTGCAACCGGCCGGCGGAAGACTTGCAACATTTTCCTAAGCACTTTTATAGTTGTTATTGTTGTTGTTGCTATTGTAGTTCTTTTTTTTTTTGCTTTTTCCATTTCATTTTGTTCAACCCTAGTTTTCTGACAACGTTGCCGATTTTCAATGCAAAAAAACACAAACACAGGCACACATAAAACTGGCAACGTCGCAACATGTTCGAAGCGAACTGAAAACTGGCAACGTTGCTTTCGAAGCGGTTGATGGAATGGTTATGGAGAGAGGGAGGAGGCAGCTTGGCAACTGCTGCAGCAGCAGCAGAGGCGACATTTTATAACAAACATAAATAAATAAAATTTAAGAAATGAAAAAATGAAGCAGAAATAGAAAGGGAAAAAGATAAAGAGCGTGGGAGGGAGAGAGAGAGAGAGGGCGTAAAAAGACGCTCACACACGTTGCACTTGCATGACATACCGCATCATACAAAGCCAAACAACAAACGTTCAATACGAACGTGGTAAAGTGATAATATACTATATATTCTATATATATATACTATATATACTATATAGTATAATAATAATAATACGAAATAAATAAGAAAATGTCCCGCGTAAGCGGCAATCATTTATACGATGAACCCGAAGTAATGGAGGAGTTCATCAGCTGTTATCGACATTTTACCGCCTTGTGGGACAGCAGTAGTGCCAATTATCTATCGAAACAGAAAAAGGAGCCCGGCTATCAGGAACTTTTGAAGATCCTGAGACGTGTCAATGGCGGCTGTTCCGTTCAAGATGTTAAGCGTAAAATCAACTCACTAAGATGCTGTTATCGTCGCGAAATCAAAAAGGTACAGTCCTCGGCTAATGGGTATCAACCGCGTCTCTGGTGGTTCCCATTGATGGACTTCCTGAAGCCGGTGCTCAATATTCAATCCCCAGTTCGGGTGAAATCGGAGAGCATGGACGATAGTCTCGATGAGACGAGCATGCAGGTAAGGAATTAGTTTAAATATTATCATAATATATTTATTATAATGTAAAATGTAGTATATGATTAACATAAGCTTATAGTTAACTATTTTAAGGACTTAGTGTGGCATGAAAAAATCCCTATGTATGTATATATTATAGAAATACATATAAGCATGACCATTCATCACTTTACAAAGAGAAGCTAAAAATAGCAGTTAGCTGGTTGGATTGCCTCTCTTAGCGCTTGTTCGACTCGGTTTGCCGTCGGTCGTACGACCAATAAATCGCGTGTCGTACGACAAGGAGTGTGGTTCATACTGCTTGCCTTTCAGTCTGCCAATGGTTGTTGGCCCATCGTTGGTCGTTGGTTCGCTAGTCGTCGGTCGTTCGTTCAACATGTCGCAGCACAGCCTTGCGGCGATTCCATATTGGAAGGAATTCTTTAAGATGTACCGGTCAATGCCAGAATTGTGGCAAGTAGGCAGTTTCCATTATCGCGATCGAGCACTAAAGGATCAATCTTATGGTAGACTCTTGGATTACTTGCGCCTTGCAGATCCGCATGCCAATATCCATACGCTAAAGCGTAAGATTAACAATTTCCGGACATCGTTTCGTCGGGAACTTCGCAAGGTCCAGGAAAGTGATAACTATGTCCCGACATTATGGTACTTCCGGGAATTGGAGTTAATATCTGATTTGGAAAACGGGAATTTATCAAGGACAGGAGTGTCGATGGTTCAAGATCATGATATGAGCTTGGAGCAAGAAGATCATGAAGACCAAGCTGATATCTCAGGATTTCAAATGTATAAGAAATCGCCGGAAATCCCGACCTATATGCAGCCTCATGATGGCGGCTTAGAAGAAAACCCTGGCGTGGATATTATCGAAGAATCCCAAAACGATTCAGTAGATCAGATGGCCAACAATGTAAGTGTATCAAAAGTGATATTAAGTTGTTTTCGGATTTGTAATTATAATATATCATCTTGTTAATAAAGTCTGGATATATACTTCATACATACATATGTATGTACTAGATGGATATTTGACTTAGGCCTGTAAATGTATAAAATTAATATAAGTTTGTAATTATTATCCCTAAAGTTCCTTAACCATTTCATTTATAGAGTATATTTCCACATTTAAAAATGTATTTAAAGGAGGAAGACATGTCAGAACACGAAGAGGATGTCCTACGTCTTGCGACCGTAGTCGATAATGAGCCAGAGCCAGAACCGGAAGTTGAAACCACCGAACCTGATCAGGAAATCGAACAGAAAGTCTTTGTATATGAATCGATGGCAATGGCTGGCAATAATAATATCATAACAAATAATTCCTATGCCAATCAATCTAGTTTTTCTCATATTCAGCATGATAGTCCGGCATCGATTACTACAGATACTAGCAATAACCGACGTAACCGTATCCGGCGACGACGTAGCACTAATGAAACCGATTACGTTGAAGATGCTAAAGCCCGTAGAACTGATCTAATGATACCGGATGCAAGTAGAGCTAGAGATAGGGAACGTGATAGGGATAGAGAAAATGATAGCGAGAACGAGTGTGAGCTAATCGGAAGACGAATGGCCAGCCATTTCCGGCATATGCGTCAGGATCAGCGACTCTACGCCGAAAGGATCATAAGTGAAGTGTTGGTCTACGGACGTATGAATCGTCTTTCGTTCGAGTCACGCTTCATCCCAGAGGGGTAATCGGATTCGATTTCAGTAACATCCTCTACAAAAAGTATACGAAATATTATTCTGATATCAAGACTTACTAACAACACTACATGATCACTTCGAAAAACTTTAATACCAATTTATAATTTTCATTTTTATAACTTTTCTCTTAGCTTTATAACGCCTTTTTGTTATTGAAAATAATTTAGAAACACAGCAACATCAGATATGTAATATCGCAACTGTCAAATATTGTGTATTAACATTATGTAACATCTTTTGTTTATTGTGAATTTGTTGTCTAAAATATAAGAATAACTCAATATTTTCTAACTGCCAAATAATGTTAGCCTTGAATGGGGGGAAAAAAACTATACTTTAAGGCAAAATAAAAACAGGTTTATCTTTAAATTGCGAATCCTAAAATTAAAGTCGATATTTCAACACGGTTGTAAAAATTTAATTAAAAAAAAAAAAATGTATTGTTAAGGAAAGAAAACTCAAAAGTGTCTATTTTTATATACGAATGTTTAATGCTTAATAAAAATTATATATGAATCAAAAAGGTATTTCTTAAGAATCGTTTTCCCAAAAGTTCAAACCGAAAAAAAAATTGTTTAAGAACAATTGAAAAACTATGTACATTTTAACCGCCTGCAACGCGACGCAAAAATGCAAAAATGGCAAATGCAAAGCAAGCGGCGAAAGACGAAAGGGTGGTGCAAAAAGGAAAGGGCGGGGGGAGGATAAGGCAACAAAAAAAGAGAAAGAAAACAACAACGAAACGAACCGGTTTTTATTCATTTTAAATTTGAGTGAGTGGTTCTGCATGCGAATCCGCCTCTCTTCCTCTTCTTGTTATTCAGCCTCTCCCTTATACCAGCTACTGCGTCGTCGTCTTCATCTGATTTTCTGCTGCTGCGCTGCTGACTGCGATTCTTTTATTCTTTTATTTTAGCTTTCTTTGCCTCGCCGCTGTGTTCTCTCATACTTCTTGTCCCCCTTTTTTGCTCCATCGTTTCTGTTTTTTTTTGCCGTTTCCTTTGCTTTAGTAACTTTAATTTGTTGGCATTGCCATTGCCGTTATACTGCTGTCATTGCCTCTCTGTCACGCATTCTATAGCCCTCAATGACGCTCTCTCTCTTTCTTGCCCTTTTACACATTGCTCTATTATCGCTGCACAGGAGAAAAAATACATATGGTATGGTAATATGATATGAATTTAAATGTGTAATGCTTTTGATGCAGTAGCTGTAAAACTGAAAATTAAACACACACAATATTTGATTTTTCTAATAAACTTTTTTTTTACATTCTAGTTGTTAAAGTATTTTTGTTTCTGTGCAGTTTTCGGTTAGGTCGGGTTCTATTTTCTTTTTTTTCTTTGTGCTTTCCTTTTTTTCCGTTAGTGAGCAAGGTGGTGCAAAAAGTAGATGGTAAATGGCAGAAGGGAGAAAAATAAGAGAAAGGGGTTGTCTTATGGGTTCTCTACATACATATACATATGTACATATGTATGTGTATGTATGTATGTATGAATGTATAACTGTATTTTTGTGCATCCAAGTCTATGTGTAATTATTTATGCATGCACGTAATAGATCACATTTTTTAACTGTTAATTGCATTTGGTAGCTTCCTTTGTTGTTGCTACAATTCCTTAGCCTTAACTCTTGAAATTTAAGAAAACGTGTTTCCGACTTTAATGTACAATCAAAAAATAAGTAACACACAGATTGAAATTTGTATTTTTAATTTGGATTATAAATTTCAGAGGAGTGGTTCGCATTCCTCGAGAATTAAGGATTAGTTTTAATATTTTGTTCTTTGTTTGTCTTTTTTCCGTCTGCACTCTTTTATCTTCGCTAATCTTTTATGCTTGCCTCCACCACATGTGGAAGTTTTCATTTTTCTTATTCGCTTTCTTAACGATTAGTTCTCCCCATATTTTGCTTTGCTGTCTTTTTCTTATTCAGCTGCTTTGCAATAAAAATAAGAAGAGGGAAAAGTAAAATGCCAAAAGGAAATAAGAAAAAATAAAAGCAGCAGCAGGTCATTAATAACTTTGTTGCCCTGTCCTTCCTGTTTTTTTTTTTTTTGTTTTTGTTTCGCCTTGCTCTGAATTTTTATTGCCGTTGGTCGTTACTTCGGGTTTTTCCCTTCTACTTCGTCCTCCACTACTAATACCCCTTATCAACCTTCTTTTTGCTGCCAGTTCTTACACTGAATGAAAGGAAGGTCGTAATATCGATGGTTAAGTTAAAAGGAATTTATTTATTTATTTAAGGATATAAAATCCAAATAAATAAATTTACTTAATAATTTTTATATGTAAATACTGAAATACATATAAATGTAAATAATTATCATATTAATTTATATTCCTTATATCATCACAACGTTTCGTTCCGTGTAGCCATTTTGCCGTTGGTGGTGTTTCTTTTTCGTGCTTTTATTTTCTTGTTGCCTGCTTTATTTTTGGGCTTTTCGCTTTTGATGTCGTTTTTGGTTGTTGTTGTAGCCGGCATTTAGCCGTCTCAGAAAAAAATAACAAAATTTAGCCAAATTACTGGCCTCCAGTTATTTGCCTCCTTTCCCCTACTATTCAAGTTTCTAAAGTAAATCACTGAACATAATTTGAATATCAATTTGTTCTTAAATATAAAACAATTTTTTAATAAAGATTTTTGTATGGATTTTTATTAAACCATTTGCGTTTATTTATTTTATTAAGAGCCTTAAATATCTTAAATTTAAAGCATATATTTTTGGTTAGTGCATTAAAAATGAAACTTGTACATTGTAGTTTCTGGAAAATTCGCATGTTTGAAAGTTTAGATGTCCACTGCGCTGTGTGTGTGTGTGTGTGTGTATGTATGCGAGTGTGTGTCGCCATTTGCCTTTCTCAGCGTCTTTGGTTTTGACATGTTGCCTCCACTTTCTGTGCCCCTTCATCCGTACCACTTCCTTCGTCCTTTTCCTCTGGCAAACAGTTTTTGGTCGTAGTCAACCGCAATAATCCATCCCCATCCCTTCATGTGTGCGTGTGTATGTGTATATTTGTGGCACAAAATGAAAATGGCAAAACAAGGTCAAGTGTAGGGAGCAAAGTTTGTTTGAGTGCACACACACGCACACCAACTACTAACATACACAAATATATACAAAGGTATGTATGTTCATACATATTTATAAATATATACAAAAAGTATGAAACATAAAGTTCACATAACTTTTTCATTAAGCGAAAACTCTTGAGATTCCTATACACATGAACGTAAATACATACATACATATGACCAATTTTGTTATAAATTGACAAACAAAAGTATTGCTCTTATTTGTGCTGTGATATTACTTAATTTTAAAGTTATCTTTTTGCATGTTTGACTTTGGACTTAAAACTATTAGCAAACCTCTTAAAATTACTTTCCAATGTTTTTTTTTTAATGTGGCTTTAAAGGTTAAAAGAGAAAAACAAATATATAAATACGTACATACATTGTACATATTTTTACATCTTTGTATGTAAGTTTTAGGGCTGTGAGTCACGTTCAACAGGCTCAGTCGCCGTTGACGTCGACGACAGCAGTGGCTCAATTTTGAGGTTAACTTTTTGACGACAAAATAATTTGCACAAAGGTGCAAAGTTTTTTGCGTACATTTTTTTCCGCCTCCTTTTTTTCTTTTTTGGAGAGCTGAACTTGACGGATGACACTCTGACGCTCTGCCTGGGTCTCTGTCGATGTCGAAGTCGACTGCGCAACGACACCTGTGGCTATGCGAAAAAGTCGTTGAAAAATAGGGGGGAAATAAATGGAATAAAATAAAACAACCCCCGTCTGAGATTTTGCTGCCAATTTTTCGCAGGCCTATGCAGTAATTCTCTATTGCCATCTCTTTCGCTTGCCCGAAAAAGGTGTGACGTAGAAAACAAAACACACACAAGCAAAACAAAAAAAAAAAGAAATGGCATAAAAAAAGCTTGGAAACAGCAGCTGAAAGTGTAACTAAAATACACACACATAAAATTATATGCCAATAAACACACATATACACACACAAGCAAGCGTTGCAAAAAAAGAAACCTAAATAAAAAATTAAATGGAAATTTCTGATATAAAACACACATATTCACACAAACACAAGCCCGCAGAAACGAAGTGAAGTTTGGCAACGCTGCACGACGACCGCGCAGTCGCCACAAAGCGACGCCGGCAGACACAAAAACAAACAGTAAAGAATGTTGCACGCGTGAGTGAGACGGGTGGGTGAGTGAGTGACAAAGTGAGTAAGCGCGTGGGGGAGTGAGTAAGCGAGCCAGTGCGTCAGAGAGTGCCATGCGTTGTTTTTGCGCAGCGCCGCTCGGCAACAGTGCACGGTGGGGCAAACTGCGACCAAAAGTGGACAGCAAAATATTAAGCCAACAAATGATGTTGTAAGCAAGCTTGCTAGCATATAGCTATAACATTTTATTTTGCTTGTTGTACATATATTAAAACTACACAATAATTCCTAGGTGAATATAAAAAAATATTCGTGGTTAATTAAAAAAAACTCATTGTAAGTTGATTTGAAAATAATCATAGTGAGTTTGATATTAGGCTACTGTACATTAGAAGCTGGTCGACAAGAAGAGAGACCAAAGAGCAAAAGAAAGGGATTGCAAAAAAACACATGCAGCCCTGTGCAAAATATGATGAACTAACTTCTACACGTCCAAGAAAACAGTTTATGGTGATATAACTTTCTACTTTCTACACACATTGTACTTATGTGTACTTATGTACACATGTGCTTGCAGATTTCATAAGAACTTTACAATCACATAATTAATTATTTGATATCAAATATGTGTTTTAGTTTTTATCATTTAGTAATCCAAATCCAGTTTGCCACAAGTAATCAACTAGATTGCCGAATTCGCCACTGGGTCGTCGTTTACCGCTTGGTTGCTTCTTCTTCACTCTCCTCTTCTCCTCCCACTCGCAAGCTCTTCCTCTTCGCGTTGGTACAAAAAAAACACAGTTTTTTTCGCTACAATTTGACACACAAAGCAGCTGTCTGCATAAGCACCGCACACATTCACATTGTACATACATTTATTGCATACATACATCTTATATATCTCACGCTGTGTTGCCATAGATACAAATATACGTACAAGCAGACACACGTAATTTATATATATATATGTGCATGCGCGTGAGGGAGAGGAAGCGAAAGAGAGCGGGAGAGGGCTATTTGTTATCTACTGCGCATTGTCTTGATGTTGTTTGCGTAGTTGTCTGTATATGTATATGAATGTGTTTGTGTGAAGATGA